TTGATCGTGTCCGCAACTTTGAATTTAGTCGCAAATTCACGCTAATTACATATTCGACTAAGTCAGACAATCAACTGAAATCAAACCATATTAATTTTGCAGAATTTCAAACACAGCGTACCATGGCTCCAACTAATCGTGTGTTGCCGACGGCTTGTGGATAGTAAAGGTCGTCCGCTCCATGTTCCCATCCAGCTACAATGACATTTGCATCTTCTTTCTCCAGTAAAGCTTTCGTCATGTTTTTAACCCATTCGGATTCCAGTGGCTTTCCTGAAAATGGATAACATTTAACATAAATATTTATATGATTTTCTAATTTGTATTCAGTTGTCTATCAGATGTTTACTCACCAGTCCAGCCGTGAATTATAATGAAAGTTCTTTTCGCGCCGTCATAAGTGGATTCCTTAAGTTTAATAATATCRCTGTCATCTATTGTTTTTTTGCCGATRGGGTCTTTCCTCGTGAAGACGTAATATTCCATTTTCATATTTTTTGGTTTATCAGGTAAAGGTCTGTCCAGCAGGAAAAAGACTTTGCTGTCGAAGGGAGGAGCGTTGCTGAACTTGCCGTACCTTCCATGGTCCACTTCTTTTGCAACAGCTGAAAAGCTGAAAAGCAGCTGAAAAGTTTGATTTGTTATTGACATTAATCAACTTGATAATATGATTGGTGATGACAATATGAAAGGGATATTGTAAACCAGCGTTGCTTACAAATATTGCAAGATTAATTTTTGCTTGAAAATAAGAATACATTTATTATACTTTGATGACGAAACGGATTGAGAAGTGATATTTGAAGTCTCCTGAAAAACATATATCAAATCTGAAACATGACTGCATTGGATGCTGGCTGATCTGGGCACTTTTAATTCCAAATGTCAAAGTGATTGTAGCAAATGAATGACAATAACAATGAATGACAATAAATAATATTGGCTATGTAAAGGACAACGTACAACGACTTTGGCTTTGGCTGTGGCAATTGTCACAGACATCGCCTATTGCATGTATATCAATGATACATTACCTAAACATTGAAGAAAAAGTAGACCATTGAAAAAACAAACATAAAAGAGCATTTCTGAAAAAAATCGCATAACATAATGTACATCCAGAATGCAGATGAATATTTTGCTCCCGGCCAGTT